GTTAGCAAACTATGTGTACTGGACTGTTTGTATGATTAAGGACTATGTTATTTGGATTATCCCTTAACTGAAAGATATTGGTGACTGACTGTCTTATCCGTGTACGACTTGGACTGTTTGATGGACTCTGATACCTCTATTTCCACGAAAGTAAAAGCCTATTTAAACTGCAGTGTCTCTGTATGCTGGTTTGTGTGTTCTCCAACAACACTCTCATGACGCTCCTCTGAATGTACTCGCTCTCCCAACGGGGAGCTTACCTAACAACGGTTACAGACTCTATTAGTCCTGGATGATCACATCTGTCTTCCTCCTCCTTCCTTTTCTCTCCAGAAGCAAGCGTGCATGCTGATTCGCAACTTGGTCTCCCATACTCAGGACTTCTCCCAGCCCATCCTGGAGATGGGAGCCGAGGACTTGATCATCGAAGCCCGAACAGCCCATCGGGACTGTGATGACGTGGCCAAAGCTGCCTTGAGGGACCTGGGCTGCAAGGTGGAGCTGCGGGAACTCTGGACCGGCCAAAAAGGAAGCCTGGCACGTTGAAGTCTCATCCCACCCACCCACCCACCCTCCATTGGGCAGCACCTGTGGATGCGGAGTAGGAGAGGGAAGCAAAGCTTGGAATAAATCCAGACGGAGCAGTTGAGAGGGAGAAGAGTGTCTTGATGCCTCTGGAGTTGGATAGGACTTAGATGCTGCAGCAGGAGGCCCCTTGCTCCACACTCTCTTGCGTTCAGCTTCTTGGCCCAGGCTCCCTTTCCGCTGTGCTTTGTTGGCAGTGCCTATGAAGCGGCCCTCCTCTCAAAAACAAACAGGGCGGCAGTGCTGTGCCAACGATGCCGCCACGCAACCAGGCTCGCCGCGCTCTAAAGGAAGGGAGACGCCTGCGGTGCGTGTACAAATCTGTACAAATTGCCTCAAAAAGATTTTAGCAACAAAAGAGAGGGTGGAAGAGCAGGTGGTGGGACCCACGTTTTCTCAATGTCTCTGAATACTTCCCTCTCCTGCCTGGCAGGTTTCTCTTACTCAACTAGGCCTTTGTTACTATGACAACCGTTAAGCTTAACAGCTTCCTGGTGTAATGCTTCCATTGGTTTGAATGTGTGCTGCCTGAAGTCCTGATCTACTCTTTGTCCTCAGCCATTCCAGTTCCTTCCGTGTGCCATCATGGTATTCAACCAATGCATGCTGCCTGTTTTATTTTTCTCTTTAATTCAGGGGTGTCCAAACGTGGGAACTTTGAAGACTTGTGGACTTCAACTCCCAGAATTCCCCAGCCAGGCTGGGGAATTCTGGGAGTTGAAGTCCACAAGTCTTCAAAGTTCCCCCGTTTGGAGACCCCTGCTTTAATTGTTCCCTCCCTGGCCTCAATTTTTTTTTTTAAATAATAGTAAAAGTGTCACCTGATTAGGGGCAAAAGAGAGGTTTGAATAGTGTGGGATCCTAGCATTGTATGCTTCATAAATATCTGTACTCCTTTTGAATATGTATTTAAATCAAGTTTCTAGCCCACCAGGGCTGTGGTTAGTATGCACTCCAGAGGTGGTATTCAGCCAGTTCTGCCAGGTTCTGGAGAACCGGTAGCCGAAATTTTGAATAGTTCGGAGAACCGGCAAATAGGCTGGCCCCGCCCCCGCTGCCTCCCGGCTGATCTTCTTTTGCTGCCCTGAACAGGAGAACGGAGCTGGGAAGCAGGTTAGTGAGGTAGGGAGGGATTTTGCCGTATCCTTCCCCTACCACACCCACAAAGCCACACCCACAGAGCCGGTAGTAAAAAAAAATTGAATCCCACCACTGGCACTGCACGCTTTTCCCTTTTCTGTCTTCCTCTCCCTGTGATTATTAAAATCCAAGATGGATTAGTTCTCCAAAATGGGATTGTTTAAATAAACCAGTGTAATTTATGAAAATGGAAATGTTTCAACTCTTCCTTGATGTAGTTTGGGTTTTGCCTGTGCAAAAATTGCGAGATACCTTATATAATAGCAATAGCAATAGCAGTAGACTTATATACCGCTTCATAGGGCTTTCAGCCCTCTCTAAGCGGTTTACAGAGAGTCAGCCTATT